CAAGTGAAAACTTCAAATATATAGAACATATGTAGGTCCAAAATCTCTTATCTACAATTCCAAAATCCCATAAATGTCAAGTTTTTGGTAAACTTCAACGAAGTCATTTTAAGGTAAATCCTGGCCTACACTATGAGCTGCTTTAGTTTTTATTTACTCCTCTTAGTGAGAATATTAATAATTTTGCAGTGTATTATGTCTGAGTACACATTCCCCTGGGAGATATAATTCCTACATATGTAAATTACATTTCTATAACTTGAAAAATTCATAAACCCATTTAACCTCACAGGTTCTAGATAAAAGTTGTGACTCTGGCCAGGCACGGTGGCTCACACCAGTAATCCCAGAACTTTGGGAAGCCAAGGCGGATGGATCACGAAGTCAGGAGTTCAAGACCAGCCTGGCCAACATGTGAAACCCTATCTCTACTAAAAATACAAATATTAGCCGCCTGTAATCCCAGCTACTTGGGAGGCAGAGGCAGGAGAACTGCTTGAGCCGGGCGGTGGGGACCAGGGGTTCCAGTGAGCCAAGATCACGCCACTGCACTCCAGCCTAGGCAACAGAGCAAGACTCCATCTCAAACAAACAAACAAACAAACAAATAAAAAACTGATTACAGGTGTGCAACATCATGCCTGGCTACCATATATGATCTTTTAACAGTAAACGTTATAGTTCTCAGAACATCTGATTGTTCCAAGACATATTCTTCATATAAGACCGAAGCTACACTACTGTGAAGACAAAAATTACACTAATATATTACTAGAGTCAATGAACAGGCATTAATCTCTCCTGTATTATAGATCAACCCTCCATTATATGAACTAAAAGGATGGACAGGGAGGGGCGCAGTGGCTCCTGCCTATAATCCCAGCACTTTGGGAGGCCGAGGCAGGTGGATCATGAGGTCAGGAGCTTAAGACCAGTCTGTCCAAGATGTTGAAACCCTATCTCTACTAAAAATACAAAAATTGGCTGGGTGAGGTGGCTCACAACTGTAATCCCAGCACTTTGAAAGGCTGAGGCAGGCGGATCACGAGGTCAAGAGATCGAGACCATCCCGGCTAACAAGGTGAAACCCTGTCTCTACTAAAATACAAAAATTAGCTGGGCATGGTGGCTTGCGCCTGTAGTCCCAGCTACTTGGGAGGCTGAGGCAGGAGAACTGCTTGAACCTGGGAGGCGAAGGTTGCAGTAAGCCAAGATTGTGCCACTGTACTCTACCCTAGCGCCTGGAAACAAAGCAAGACTCTATCTGAAAAAAGAAAAAAAAAATTAGCTGGGTATGGTGGTGGAGGCCTGTAATCCCAGCTATTCAGGAGGCTGAGGCGGAACTGCTTAAATCTGGGAGTCAGAGGTGGCAGTGAGCTGAGATCACACCACTGCACTCCACCTGAGTGGCAAAGCAAGACTCTGTCTCTGTTTCAAAAAAAAGGTGGACTGTGCTACATAATTCCTCTCTTATGAGCAATAACCATCTTGCAGGTGATCACTCAGCCTAAAATACTGACTGCCAGTTTTCACCTATAAAAGTCACCCATTTGGCTGGGCATAGTGGTTCACACCTGTAATCCCAGCACTTTGGGATGATGAGGCAGGAGAATCACTTGAGCTCAGGATTTTGAGACCAGCCTGGGCAACACAGTGAGACCGCACCTCTACAAAAAGTTAGCCTGGCATGGTGGCACGCATCTATAGTCCTAACTACTCTGGAGGTTGAGACAGAAGGCTCACTTGAGCCCAGGGGTTTGAGGTTACAGTAAGCTATGATCGTACAAATGCACTCCAACGTGGGCAAGAGTAAGACCCTGTCTCTCATTAAAAAAATATTAGGCCGGGCGTGGTGTCTCACGTCTATAATCCCAGCACTTTGGGAGGCCGAAGCAGGTGGATCACGAGGTCAAGAGATCAAGACCATCCTGGTCAACATGGTGAAACCCTGTCTCTACTAAAAATACAAAAAATTAGCTGGGCATGGTGGCACATACCTGGTAGTCCCAGCTACTCGGGAGGCTGAGGCAGGAGAATTGCTTGAACCCAGGAGGCAGAGGTTGTGGTGAGCCGAGATCACACCATTGCACTCCAGCCTGGGTAAAAAGAGCAAAACTCCATCTCAAAAAAAAAATAATAGTAATATTAAATTATTTATTTATTTATTTTGAGATGAAGTCTCACTGTTATCAGGCTGGAATGTACTGGTGCGATCTCGGCTTACTGCAACCTCCGCCTCCTGGGTTCAAGTGATTCTCCTGCCTCAGCCTCCCAAGTAGCTGGGACTATAGGAATGCGCCATCACACCCAGCTAATTTTTGTATGTTTAGTAGAGATGAGGTTTCACCATGTTGGCCAGTGTGGTCTCGATTGCTTGACCTCATGACCCACCCGCCCTGGCCTCCCAAAGTGCTGGAATACAAGTGTGAGCCACCATGCCCAGCCATAAAAAAATCTTTAAGTCACTATTACTACTGAGATTCACATATGGCTTTTTTTTTTTTTTAAGGAGACAAGGTCTTGCTATGTTGCCCAGGCTGACCTCAAATTCCTGGGCTCAAGCAATTCTGCCATCTCAGACTTCCAAGTAGCTAGGACTACAGATGTACAACATCATGCCTGGCTACCACATATGATCTTTTAACAGTAAATGTTATAGTTCTCAGAACATCTGATTGTTCCAAGACATATTCTTCAGATTAAGCCCTAAGCTGCACTGCTATGAAACCTCCACTACCCTTTAATGCTCCTCACCTGAGGGGAAATCACAGCTGCTCTTCACAAATATCATAAATAATAATCTATTCCATGCATATGTGGGACCTACTGACTGTCAAGCACTGGTGGAAACAAGGAGAAACAAGATAAGACTCCTGCTGTCATTCCTCTCCAGTGAGAGAAATAAGCTACACAAAACCACTGAGAAAAATATCATCCAATACCAGTGACAGATTCAATCCTATCAGTGACCAGTGATAGATCCAATTGAAAAATCCAGTGATAGAAATATCCAATAAGTGATAGATCCAAACAAGGATATGATAGAAAACGACTACCAGGTAATTTTAGATTTGAAGGTGACACAAGGCCTCAGAAAGGTGAAACTGAAGTCAAGAACTAAACCTTAGAAGACAAGTAAAGATCAAAGGGAAGAGCAGTGCAAAGATTCTGACACAGAAAGAATTTGTATTGGTCAAAGACAAGAGAAAAGCTCAGTGTGGTTACAGTAAAATAGAGTAGGTGGAGAGCAGTACTGAATAAGATCAAACGGCCAAGGATCAGCTCATGCATGGGTTTGTAAGATAAAGCAAGAAGTTGAGAATTTCTTCCAAGTGAAGATGAAGGCACTAAGAGGGTTTTAGACATGGGAGTAACATGATCTGACTGATATTTTCAAAAGTTCATCCTACTTGTCACATAGAGATGTAATAACAGGTAATCCAATCCTTTCACTAAAACACACACACACACACACACACACACACACAAACTTAATAGAATGCCAAGAAAAGATTGTATTTGCTGAAAGGTGTTTTTAGTTTTATTTTTAAGCACTGTCCTGAATGATTTCCCAGGTGTATCAGTGTCTTCAGTCTGCCAATTCTAATAGCTACCACAAGCAGCACATTTAAGAACTTCCTCTTTAGACACTATATGTCAATATAATTTTTACTGTGCTGACAAATTTGACAATTAGAAAGTCAAAGAATACTAAAGTAACTGGAGTTTGAACTGCTATTTAAATATTAAGACATCTCCTTACTAAACATATCAATACTTAATGAAAGCAGTTCATGAAACAAGGCAGCTGACATTATTATCCTGAAAGTTAAAAAGTATCTCTAGCCTGTAAATTCTACCTTGAGTTCCCAAAGAAAGCATTTATGAGGCATATGCAAAAAATAAATATAACTAACAAAAAGTGAGATATACAAACATTCAAGATTGATGTTTTTAAAACAAAAGAAATAATTAGCTCTCTGAGAAATAATACCTCTGAGTTTACTCTCAAATTACAGAACAAATTATTTCTGGACTTAATACCATATTCTTTCAAGCACAAAATTTATTTTGTGGATAATTTTCCTCTGCAGAAGCAATATGAAGAAGCTAGCTAGTGAATGCAAAATTTTTATTCCATGGTAAACTGCTAAAATTATACCCTCGAAAATATGACATGTTCTTACTTGAAGATCTCTTTAACTGAAATTCTAAATTCTGTGAAGACTCATGCTCTACTCTCTTCCATTTAAAATTCTACAAAATGGGTCACCTAAAGATTATCTTTATTTTAAACCACTTATTATTATTACACATAGTTCTAAAAATATTGGCCAAAACCTTGAGTTGTTGGCATTTCACCTTTCCCCACTTTTACTATAGTAAGATTTAAAGGAAATGACTGAAATTGGTACTGTGAAATATGACTAGGAGCATATTCTCAAAAGTTTAATCTACAGTTCAGACCACAGAACAGATGTCAAAGAGAAAGCTCTTCTGCATCTATTTATGGGTTTCAACAAAATAGCTGTTACAGGACTCCATTCTCAAAGCAAAACCGAAAATTAATCACTAATTTATACAATTTCTCTGGGAAGTTGTTAAGTTTTACTCTGAAGGTATGAATGTAAAATTTTACATACAGCAAGCTTATTAAATCCTATTAGGCTCAAACATAAACATTCCGCCGCCATGAAGAACATAAATAGCAAGTTTAATAATTACATAAAATATATTCAGGGCAATTGCTGCAACACTCACTTTATGTATCACAGGCATTCAGAAGAACTGGAACATGCATCCTCATCACCCATGTGTAGACAAATATTCACAAAGAACCACAGCTAAGACTAAAGCTGCTTGTTATTTTAAGGCACCAACAGAAGGCTTCTGGAAATTTTAATTGTGGTTTCTTAAAACAAGTTTTAAGTAGCACATGATGCAGAGATCTAACAAAGACTCTTCCTAACCCAAGGCCATATGCAAGTCAAGAAACTCACCTGTGTTATACTCCTTCAACTGCAAGTTCTTTACAGGCATACCATCAGGAGTCCGAAAAGCATTAAGAATCTGCAAACATATGGCATTTACACTAATAATACAAATAATAATTAAACACTGAATATTACATTTTTCCCTAAAGGTTTTTATCATACATAATTTAAAGCCATGATTATTGTGTAAAAGCAAAGTTAACTATAAACACTCAAGGTATTCAAATAATGTTGAATGAGGCCAGGCACAGTGACTTATGCCTATAATCCCAGCACTTTGGGAGGCCAAGGCAGCAGATCACCTGAGGTCAGGAGTTTGAGACCAGCCTGACCAACATGGAGAAACCCTGTCTCAACTAAAAATACAAAATTAGCCAGGCATGGTGGCACATGCCTGTAATCCCAGCTACTCGGAAGGCTGAGGCAGGAGAATCACTTGAACCCAGGAGGCAGAGGTTGTGGTGAGCCAAGATCACACCATTGTACATTCCAGCCCGGGCGACAAGAGCAAAACTCCACCTCAAAAAAAAAAAGAACGAGCAAAACATAATTATTCAAAAATTGGCGGAATGCAGTGGCTCATACCTATAATTCCAACACTTTAGAAGGCCAAGATGGGAGGATTGCTTAAAGCCACATGTTTAAGATAAGCCTGGGCAATATAGTGAGACCCTATCTCTTTAAAAAAAATTTTTTTTTTCTTAATTATCCGGGAGAGGCCAGGTGTAGCGGCTCACACCTGTATGCTCAGCACTTTGAGAGGCCAAGGAGGGTGAATCACTTGAGGTCAGGAGTTCAGGACAAGCCTGGCCAACATGGTGAAACCCCATCTCTACTAAAAATACAAAAATTAGCCAGGTGTAGTGGTGTACCTGTAATTCCAGCTACTTGTGAAGCTGAGATGGGAGAACTGCTTGAACCTGGGAGGGAAAGGCTTCAGTGAGCAAGATCGGGCCACTGCACTCCAGCCTAGGTGACAGAGCGAGACCCCTTTTCTCCAAAAATAATAATAATAATAATAATAATAATAATAATTACCCAGGAGACCAGGCACAGTGGCTCACACCTGTAATCCCAGCACTTTGGGAAGCCAAGGCAAGTGGATCACCTGAGGTCAGGAGTTTGAGACCAGCCTGGCTAACATGGAGAAACTCTGTCTCTACTAACAATACAAAAATTAGGATGGGTACAGTGGCTCATGCCTGTAATCTCAGCACTTTGGGAGGCCAAGGCAGGTGGATCACCTGAGGTTGAGAGTTTGAGACCTGCCTAACCAACATGGAGAAACCCTGTCTCTACTAAAAATACAAAATTAGCTGTGCATGACAGTAATCTCAGCTACTCGGGAGGCTGAGGCAGAAGAATCACTTGAACCTGGGAGCCAGAGGTTGTAGTGAGACGAGATCATGCCATTGCACTCCAGCCTCAGCAACAAGAGTGAAACTTCATCTCAAAAAAAAAAAAAAAAAAAATTAGCTGGGTATAGTGGCACACACCTGTAATCCTAGCTACTTGGAAGGCTGAGGCAGGAGAATCACTTGAAAGTAGAAGGCTGAGGCTACAGTGAGCTGAGATTATGCCACTATACTCTAGCCTGGGCAACAGAGCGAGACGCTGCCTTTAAAAAATAAAAAATAAATTAAAAAATAAAAAAAGGCCGGGCCCAATGGCTCACACCTGTAATCCCAGACTTTGGGAGGCTGAGGCAGGCGGATCACGAGGTCAGGAGATCAAGGCTAACCTGAGCTAACTTGGTGAAACCCCATCTCTACTAAAAATACAAAATTAGCCAGGCGTGGTAGTACGTGCCTGTAGTACCAACTACTCAAGAGGCTGAGGCAGGAGTATTGCTTGAACCCAGAAGGTGGAGGTTGCAGTGAGCCGAGATTGCACCACTGCACTCCAAGCCTGGGCAATAGAGTGAGATTCAGCCTCAAAAAAAAAAAAAAAAAAAAATTTTTTTTTTTTTTCGACCAAGAGTGGTGGCTGACACCTATAGTCCCAGCTACTCAGGAGGAGAGTTTGAGCCCAGGAGTTTGAGGCTGTAGTGAGCCTTGACTGGGCCACTGCACTCCAGTCTGGAGTATCTTGTCTCTTTTTTTTTTTCCTCAGGTATATAAAAACAGCAAAAAGAACATAACCTTCTCAGGTATATAAGAAAAGCAAAAGAACATAACCTTCAAGGGCTCAAGCTCTCTGTACTCATATTGTGTACATTCCAAGCTCTCCTGCTTACTTGCTGTGTAAGTAACCTTTTAGTGTCCAGTTTCTCATGTGTTAAACATAAAATGATGTACTGGGTTCATTACAGTCCAGGGCCATAGCACTTCCTCAGCATGGGCAGTTTGTTTCCCCATATTCAAATGAACTGTTCTCTCACTGCATTCAGGCCTGGGCTCAAATGCCTCTTCCTCAGTAATGTCTCCCTAACTACACAATATAAACATCAGCCCCATAAGCATGCACGCCTGTAGTCCCAGCTACTCTGGAGGCTGACGTGGGAGGACTGACTGAGCCCATGAGGTAGAAGCTGCAGTGAGCCACGACTCCACCACTGCACTCCAGCCTGGACAACAACAAAGTGAGACATTGCCTCAACAAAATTAAAAAATGGGCTGGGGGCAGTGGCTCATGTCTATCATCACAGCACTTTGGGAGGTGGATTACCTGAGGTTAGGAGTTTGAGACCAGCCTGACCAATATGGTGAAACTCTGTTTTTATCTAAAATACAAAAATTAGCCAGGCATGGTGGCTCATGCCCATAGTCCCAGCTACTTGGGAGGCTGAGGCAGAATAATTGCTTGAACTCGGGAGGCAGAGGTTGTAGTGAGCTGAGATCGTGCCACTAGACTCCAGCCGAGGCGACAGAGCAAGATTCCATCTCAAAGAAACAAACAAACAAAGATGATGATAAAAATAAAACGCCCCAATTCCAGTGATACTCTAAGCCTGTATTTTAGCTTTAGTTTTCCTTTTTGAGACCAGGTCTTGCTCTGTTGCCCAGATTGGAGTGCACTGGTACGATCTTGGTTCACTACAACCTCCACCTCCTGTGTTCAAGCAATTCTCCTGCATCAGCATCCTGAGTAGCTGGGATTACAGGCACATGCCACCACACCCAGCTTATTTTTTTTCTATTTTTAGTAGAAACGGGGTTTCACCGTGTTGGCTAGGCTGGTCTCAAACTCCTGACCTCAAGTGATCCACCTGCTTTGGTCTCCCAAAGAGCTAAGATTACAGGTGTAAGCCACCACGCCCAGCCTATACTTTAGTTTTCTTCAGAGCATTTATTCACTGATTAAAATTATGTAATCTGTCTTTTGCTTGCTTTTTCATTATCCATAGAGGCAGTGACTTTATAATATACACTGCTATATCACCCAGTATCTAGAACAATGCCTGACATACAGTAATGCTTAATATTTAGAGTGAATAGATTATATATGTGATAATTAAAAGAACTAATGCTTGTAAGTATCACACAATGCCTGGCACAGAGCAGAACGGTCATAAGTTCAGCCCTAATTTAGTCAGCCAATCCTTTAATATTGGGCGGTTAGGCAGTTTCTAGTTTTTACTATTGTAAATAAACTGCATCTTTATGTATGCATTCCAGAAATAATATGTTCTAAAGGATGTGATCTTGTCTAAAGAGAGCAATCATTTGTCATATTTTTTAACCTCACCTCAGTGAGTACATGCATAAATAGCAAAATCTGAATAAACCTTATGAATTATAACAGAGTCAATTTCCTGGTTTAGATACTATACCATAGTTATGCAAAATATTAACATTGAGGGAGGATGGGAGAAAAATACACAAGCCTTTTCAGCACATTTCTTTGCACCTTCTTGTGAACCTACAATTTTTCAAACTAAAAGTTCTTTTAATTTTTAACTGACACAGAGAAACAGGAGAGAACACATGCCTTACCTCTTCTTTTGTGGCATTTTCAGGCACCCCACTTAATCGAATAAGCCTGCTGGGTTTCTCCTCACTTGGGCAGGTCCTATAATCTTGATCCTTAAATTCAGAATGAAAAATTATTTCACAAGTAAATATACTTTACTGTTCAAAACACAAATCAACATGAAATTTAACTACTCAGGATCAAAAATGATAATGACATATCATGTGAAGATATGAAAAATTACAATTTTCTCTATTGTTCTGAGTGTGACTTCAAATCATTTGAATACAAGTATGCTTAGACCAAGGCTCACTGAAAGAATCTTGAAAGTAAAGCAAAACATGACCAGAGACAACACTGAATAAGACTTAAATAACCAGAAAGCTACACTAACATAGTCTCTAAACCATTATTTTCTCAGTCTGGCCAACATGGTGAAACCCTGTCTCTAGTAGAAACACAAAAATCAGCCAGTCGTGCTACGCGTGCCTGTGGTCCCAGCTACTCTGGAAGCTGCGGAGGAAAAATCACTTGAACCTGGGAGGCAGGGGTTTCAGGGAGCCAAAATTGTGCCACTGCACTCCAGCCTGGGAGGCAGAGCAAGAACCCCAGTCTCCAAAGAAAAAACCAAAACGTCCCTGGTCTGAGAATGGGGTGTGGGCTAGTAGCACTTCATAGCTCTGGTGAGAGAAGGTAACCACATAATGTCATTTTTTTAAATGTCCCTGAATGATGGTGACAGGATAGGAAAATCTTCATGTAGCAAAAGCTTCATTAGGTTTTCCCTAATGATTTATCAACTGGGATTGTGAAACAAACAAAACAACTTCCTGCCTTTGTTTGTAAGTCAGAGGAAAGTTTTAGTGAGGTGTCTTATATTGTACTCCACACTACAGAAGTTTCGGGTAGTGATATAGGTTAAATGCCAATCAGTCAAATAATATTGGTGTGAATACAAATAATATTTCTTCAACTTCAAAGTATGAGTTAATATGTACATATGTAAACTTTAGAAATAAAGTATTAAGTCAAACTTCCCAAGAAATTTTCCCAAAAACATGCACTAACACTTGATTTTAATTAATTTATTTTTATTTTATTTTATTTTTCTGATAGAGTCTCTGTCACCCAGGCTGGAGTGCAGTGGCACAATCTCAGCTCACAACTGCCTGTGCCTCCTGGGTTCAATCAATTCTCCTGCCTCAGCCTCCCAAGTAGTTGGGATTATAGGCACTTGCCACCACACTTGGCTAAATTTTTGTATTTTTTTTTTTTTTTTCAGATGAAGTTTTGCTCTTGTTACCCAGGCTGGAGTGCAAGGATGCAATCTCAGCTAACCACAACCTCTGCCTCCCGGGTTCAAGTGATTCTCCTGCCTCAGCCTCCCAAGTAGTTGGGATTACAGGCGCCCGCCACCACACCTGGCTAATTTTGTATTTTCAGTAGTGGGGGGGTTTCTCCATGTTGGTCAGGCTAGTCTCGAACTCACAACCTCAGGTGATCCACCTGCCTCAGCCTCCCAAAGTGCTGGATTATAGGTGTGAGCCACTGTGCCCAGCCTAATTTTTTTATATTTTTAGTAGAGATGGATTTCACCATGTTGGCCAGCCTGGTCTTGAACTCCTGACCTCAAATGATCTGCCCACCTCGGTCTCCCAAAGTGTTGGGATTACAGGCATGAGCCACTATGCCTGGCCTTATTTTTCTTTTTCCCGCCACATTCTCTCCTGAGGTTGTACCACAAGGGTCTCTAACTCTTGGCCTCAAGTGATTCTCCCACCTCAGCCTCCTAAAGTGCTGAAATTACAAGCATGGGCCACTGAACCTGTCCAAATCAACTTTAAAAGTTAATGTCTTCATTGTAAAATTACAAATATAACCCTCCTTGCTTAAATCATATATTCAAGAAGTTTAACATTTAATCATGTTAGGTGCAAGAGGATAGCTGCAACATTAACATCACCTCCTCATGACTAGGGAGACTACTAAGTATTCTCTCAAAGAATTTAAGTAAGAAAATGATCCCTAAACAACCACAGACCTAACTGAGCAAGAGTTGCAAGAGTCAACTCCCAAAGACATATACTTTCAAACTAAATTGTCCCGAGGCATGTAAATCAGCACCATAAAACAAAATAATTTAAAAACGCACATGAAAAATATGATCTGGTGCTCGCTTCGGCAGCACATATACTAAAATTGGAACGATACAGAGAAGATTAGCATGGCCCCTGTGCAAGGATGACACGCAAATTCGTGAAGCGTTCCATATTTTTCAGAAATGATGAGTTTGTGTCGTTTGTAGGGACATGGATGAATCTGGAGAACGTCATCCTCAGCAAACTGGCACAAGAACAGAAAATGAAACACCGCATATTCTCACTCATAGGTGGGTGATGAAAGATGAGAACACATGGACACAGAAAGGGGAGTACTAAACACTGGGGTCTATTGGGGGGAAAAGGGGAGGGCCAGTGGGAGGGGGAGGTGGGGAGGGATAGCCTGGGGAGAAATGCCAAATGTGGGTGAAGGGGAGAAGGAAAGAAAAGCACACTGCCATGTGTGTTCCTACACAACTGTCTTACATGCTCTGCTCATGTACCCCAAAACCTAAAATCCAATAAAAAATTAAAAAAAAAAAAAATATGATCTGAAGCTAGGGGCAATGGCTCACTCCTGTAATACCAGCACTTTGGGAGGCTGAGGTGGGGGGACTGCTTGAATCCAAGAATTCAAAACCAGCCTGGGCAGCATGTTGCAACCCTGTATCTACAAAAAAATACCAAATTGCTGGCCAGGCGTTGTAGTGCACACCTGTAATCCCAGACCTTTGGGAGGCTGAGAAGGGTGGATCATTTGAGATCAGGAGTTCCAGCCCAGCTTAGGCAACATAGCTAAACCTCATCTCTACAAAAAAAAGAATACAAAAATTAGCCAGGTGTGGTGGTGCATAACTACAGTCCTAGCTACTCAGGAAGCTGAGGCAGGAAGATTGCTTGAACATGGGAGGCAGAGGTTGTCGTGAGCCAAGATCATGCCACTGCACTTCAGCCTGGGCAACAGGGTGAGACTCCATCTCAAAAAATGAAAAATAAAAAATAAACTAACTAGGCATGTTGACATATGCCTGTAGTCCCAGCTTCCTGGAAGGCTGAGGCGGGGGAATCCCTTGAGTTAAGAGGGTTGCAGTGAGCCAAGGTAACACCACTGCACTCCAGCCTGGGCAACAGAGCAAGACTTGCTCTCAAAGGAAATAAATAAATAAATAAATAAATAAATAAATAAATAAATAAATAAATAAATAAAACCTAGCCAGGTGTGGTGGCTGGTGCATACCTGTAGTTCCGGCTACTCAGGAGACTGAGGTGGGAGGATCGCTTGAGCCTGGGAGGTCAAGGTTGCAAGGAGCCATGATTATACTACTACACATCAGCCCAGGTGACAGAGCGAGACTCTGTCTCAAATATATACATATATATATTCCCTTCATTCACACACACACACACACACACACACACACACACACACGCGCGAAGGGAAAATGAGCAGGTAGAAAAGAATAAAAGAAAAAGGCCAGGCGCGGTGGCTTAAGCCTATAATCCCAGCACTTTGGGAGGCCGAGGCGGGTAGATCACGAGGTCAAGAGATTGAGACCATCCTGGTCAACATGGTGAAACGCTGTCTCTACTAAAAATACAAAAAATTAGCTGGGCATGGTGGCGCGTGCCTGTAATCCCAGCTACTCAGGAGGCTGAGGCGGGAGAACTGCTTGAACCCAGGAGGTGGAGGTTGCGGTGAGCCGAGATCGTACCATTGCACTCCAGCCTGGGTAACAAGAGCGAAACTCCGTCTCAAAAAAAAAAATACATACATAATCTGAGCTCAGGGCCTTTTCTCTAGAGATTTAATTCCTACATTCTACCCCGGAATATAAATTTTGCTTTCTAATGGTTATGCAAGGAAAAAATAAAATGATTAAAAAAAAATAATCATCCTTCACAAAACTCTTACTTAAAAAAAAAAAAAAAAAATAGCAATCCACCCCATCAACATACCTGAAGGTCCCGTTGGGCATCTCGGGCAGTTTTGCTCTCTGGAAAAGACTTGCTCTGGCCATAGCCAAACATCTGGCTTCCTGGCAGCCTATGATCCACATCACGGTATTCCATGCTTCTGTAATCGGTGTCTTGCCGCCCAAGAAAGTCCAGACCTCCTTCTTCTTTAAACAGACCAGCATCTGAACTCTGCTGTTCACCTCCAGAAAGCTGTGATTTATCTTGGTCTTGAACTGGACTTTGGCTGTTCTGAAAGTCAGCTGGAGACTCATGTTCAAAGGCTACACCTTGTGTTTCTCCTTCTCTTGTTTCTGAATGCTCAAATTCTCCCTTCTGAATGCCAAAAGCAGGCCTTTCTATCGTATGGTCATGTGTGGATTCTTCTCTCCTGTTCACATTCATACCAGAATGTTCTCTATCTTGTGTAGAGGGCTGAATGTAATCCAAAATATTTGGATCCACAGGGGGCATCTCCCTATCTTTAAATTCCATACAAGGTCCCATCTCTCTGCCCCTAAAATCCTGATCAGTCCTAGACCGGTGTCTACCTCTGAAATCTGAATGTGGTACATCCCTGTCCCTAAAGTCTAGATCGGCAGTACCTGAACCTCGGCCTCTAAAATCTACTTGTGTTCCATCTTTGTCCCTAAAGTCCAAATCAGATACATCTCTATTCCTAAAATCAGAACGGGAATGTTCTCTGGCCCTGAAATCCAAATCTGATAAATCCCTTCCCCTAAAATCTGCATGGGATCCATCCCGGCCTCTAAAATCTAAATCATAAGTGCCCCGGCCCCTGAAGTCAGATGGAGGAGCATCCCTACCTCTGAAGTCAACAGCGTGAGCATCCCTGTCTCTGTAGTTCATATGAGGTGCCTCCCTACCTCTATAATCCACAGAAGTACCATCTCCACCCCTATAGTCCATAGGTGGTCCTTCTCTATCCCGAAAATCCCCAGAATGTATGTCCCTACTCCTGAAGTCCAACTGTGATGAATCTCTGCTCTGGAAATCAGAAGATGAAAAATCTCCCCCCATGAAATCATGTCCAGGTCCCTCCCCTCCTCGATAGTCACCATGAGGTCCGTCTCTAGCTCCATAGCTGAAAGAATGCTCCTCTACATTTGAAAAAGGAGGCCCCGAATGCCCCTGGAAATCAAAGGGAAGTGAATCTCTGCCAGGAAAGTTGCCAGAGTGTCTCTCTTGAGCATGACTCTTAAGGGGAGGAGGAGGATAATCCCTGTTCCACCCGGGAGCAAACCTTTCTTCTTGGCTCCCACTGTAGAAACAAAGACAGTGTTATTTATATTGTCCAGAGAGTTTGAAATCTACACACCAGCATATTCTTCTCTAATCACAGCACATTCTTCTGTAAACATTTTTTTTTTTTTTGGCAGAGTTCTGTAACAAGGTCCTAGATCTGCAGAAAACAGCAAAGTTTTGCTATTTTAAGACGAAGTGGCGGAGTAAACTTTTATGCTCCCATTTCAGAACACGAGGAAAGTCAACACAAGGTTTTCAACATGACTGCTGCAGAAAAAGCTTTCACCCAGTCCTGCAACAGGGAAAATCCGCAATACCAAATAAGCTAACAATGGTGACATACTACAAAAATTTCCATTTCCTACAGCCAGGGAACTTAAGAATTCCAAGGTCAACATGACGATTGCTATATATCAGAAAAATCAATGCACTGTAAATTTCTTACAGTAAGTTTCAGGAGATATCCTTCTCACTGCTGCATCCAGGGGTAACATTCCGAAATATTTTCTTACAGATATAGCATGGACACTACCCAATCAAAATGGATGCAGGCCCAAAAGGAAGAAACACTGGTTGTAAATCACCAGTAGGAACAAGAACACCAGTGTTCACCAGCTAAGCATCAGTCCTGGCTGCATCTAAATCCCAGTTCTACAGTGGCTCCACCAAGAAGCACTCTAACCTGGGTCCTAACTTAACAATTCAAGGGTATCATAGAAGGTAGCATGAATCATGCCACAAAGCATGTATAAGTCATCTAAGCCACCAACAGCATCCAGGGGCTTAATGCTGAGAGGGACCTAGAGAGAGAGTGTTAGTTAGGCCTTCAAGCATGATCCCCAGGACCCAAATGAAGAAGCTGATATTCCATATTCCAATGCCTCATGCTACATTTTCATGGCAATAAAATGCATTTTAAAAATAGACACATTATTAAATTTACATTATCAATTTACAGAACTCAAGAGATAAGCAAGATATAACCTAATCTTTCATACTACCCTACTTCTTCCCTTTGCCTAATCTCCAGGGAATTTTACATGTTTTGGCTTCAGTCCAAGATTCCCTAAACTAGTTTAAATAGGCAATTAGGCACCTGGGATCCTAGGTAGGGAGACATGAAAAGACCTGAAGGGTCATCTGCTATTCAGCAGTAAAACAAAAGCATTTAGATATCAATACCAACTCAATTCTTGCCTCCCAGAACTTATAGGGTCTACAATAAGACCCTTCTGAGCTCAGACTGCACTACTATAGTAAAATTCAAAGAAAACTGATTCTGGGTCACTCAGTTCAAGAGAAATAGTTGCAATGCCAAACCCTTTCTTTTTTTACTTTTTGAGACAAAGTCTCGCTCTGTTGCCCAGGCTGGCATGCAACGGCACGATCTTGGTTCACTGCAACCTCCGCCTCCTGGGTTCAAGTGATTCTCGTGCCTCAGCCTCCCAAGTAGCTGGGATTACAGGCATGCGCCACCATGCCCAGCTAATTTTTATATTTGTAGTAGAGATAAGTTTTACCACGTTGCCCATGCTGGCCTTAAACTCCTGACCTCAGGTGATTCACCCATCTCAGCCTCACAAAGTGCTAGGATTACAGGTGTGAGCCACCATGACCAGCCAACCCTTTCTTAAAGTAATAGGAATTTAACAACGTTAACCTAAACACTATAATGATGTACATTTGATGGATTTTCAGAACATGATAACTTCCACTGACCCCCGTTAACAGTAGTTATGTCTATGTGGTTCATCATAACAGCAGGACATTTAGATGTTCTTAACCAATACAATTTAACACTAAAATTAGGATGTTACCACTAAATACAGTGTCTTTCATATTTAAAATAATTCAAGTCTTGCCGGGAGCGGTAGCTCATGCCTGTAATCCCAGCACTTTGGGAGGCCAAGGCGGGTGTGGATCACGAGGTCAAGAAATCAAGACCATCCTGGTCAACATGGTGAAACCCCGTCTCTACTAAAAATACAAAAAATTAGCTGGGCATGGTGGCGCATGCCTGTAATCCCAGCTACTCAGGAGGCTGAGGCAGGAGAATTGCCTGAACCCAGGAGGCGGAGGTTGCGGTGAGCCGAAATTGCGCCATTGCACTTCAGCCTGGGTAACAAAAGCGAAACTCCGTCTCCAAAAAAAAAAAAAAAAAAAAACAAACAAACAAAAAACAACACACACACACACACACAAAATTCAAGTCTTAATAACTTGCAGGAAAATTCAAGCTTCATCACACTCTCGTAGGATAAGGACTGATGCATGAAACCTACATGTTTTCTGACCAGAACACATCTAACATGGCCTAAGGATTATCTTACCCTTCTAAGGTAAGATCAAATAGATTTAGAGTAACTTACTACCCTTCTAAGGTAAGATCAAATAGATTTAGAGTAACTTACTGTAGCAGGGTTCTTATCTGTATTTTATATAGACTAATCAAGAAACAGTTCTACTAATACAAAATAACAGTAGTTATGAAAATCATTTTCAACCAAATAAAAACAAATTTAAAAAGAAAAGTTCAACGAAAATGTAATAAAATCATTTTCCTATATCTTTTTTGGTTCAAATTAGTTCCCAAAAAAGGAATGCTATATAAACTATGTCTCCCTCCTGATCAAAGATCTTAAAAAACAGCATATAAGGCCGGGCACAGTGGCTCAAGCCTGTAATCCCAGCACTTTGGGAGGCTGAGGCGGGTGGATCACGAGGTCAAGAGATAGAGACAATCCTGGCCAACATGGTGAAACCCTGTCTCTGCTAAAAATACAAAAATTAGCTGGGCGTGGTGGCATGTGCCTGTAGTACCAGCTACTCGGGAGGCTGAAGCAGGAGGATTGCTTGAATCTGGGAGGTGGAGGTTGCAGTGAGCCGAGATTGCGCCACTGCACTCCAGCCTGGCGCCTGGCGACAAAAAAACTATGTCAAAAAAAAAAAAAAAAAAAACCCAGCATATAATGACTTACATTTGAAATTAATGTGGGAAGACATAATTTTAAGTAAATTCAAACAAGCCGAAGACAAATGTTCTAAATTTGGAAAAAAGTTACACAATAGAGATAAATTTACTTAATATTTCTGAATGCTTACCTAAACCATGTTAATTCTATAAGAAATAGCCTTACTTACAAAATAGTTATCTATAAATATGAGTAACAAAAGGATAGATTACAATTTAAATATTTTTAAATGTTAATGTACAAGCCCATTGATCTAGACTAGAGGTCAGCAAACTTTCTCCATGAAGAGCCAGTTCATAAATATACTGGATTTTGTGGGTTATACAATCTCCATCATAGCTATTCACCTCTGCCAGTACAGCATGAAAGCAACCATGCACAATCTGCAAATAAATGAGCGTGGCTGTTTTCTAATAAAACTTTATTTACAAAAATAGGTTATTGGCACTGATCTAATCCTTAGTGTTTTGAAAGAAAAATACCCAATATCACATAGTTGTTTTAATTTAAAGACCACTGAAGAGAAAATAAGGATGCTGACAAGGCATGGTGGCTCATGCCTGTAATCCCAGTACTTTGGGAGGCTAAGGAGGGTGAATCACAAGGTCAGGAGTTCAAGACCAGTCTGGCCAACATGGTGAAACTCTGTCTCTACTAAAAATACAAAAATTAGCCAGATGTGTTGGCATGCATCTGTAGTCCCAGCTCCTCAGGAGGCTAAGGCAGGAGAATCACTTGAACCCAAGAGGCGGAGGCTAAAGTAAGCTGAGATCACACCCCTGCCCTCTAGCCTAGATGACAGAGTGAGGCTCCATCTCAAAAAAAGAAAAAAAAAAAAGAAAATGTACTAGTAATAGAAGTTTCAACTGGAGCATCAATACCTTTGAATGCATACATTTAAAGGTCAGATTTCTTTGCTATGTACCAAGTAAAACCAAAAAAGTCAAATTTGTATAACATTCCATTAATTGTAAACACAATGCAAAAAATGTTTAAATACGAGTTAAAATACAGAGTGTATTATATTAGCTATAAAAAAAATTAACTCCCCACAAATTTAAAATACAATCCATTTACAACTAAATGCTACCAATGCTACCACCATCTCCACACTTCTTGGTACCCAATAAACCCTAGAGGTGGTTTGGCAAACTGCATCAACATGCCACAGGCAAGGCATAGCTCTGAATTTTAGACAAATAGTGCACTCAATGCAACTTTTATAAACATTTATGGACGTTTCACTAGCTTTCCTTACTAGCCAAATATGTATTCCTTTGCTAAGAAACAAAAATAAGGCTGGGCGCGGTGGCTCACGCCTGTAATACCAGCACTTTCGGAGGCCGAGGTGGGCGGATCACGAGGTCAAGAGATCGAGACCATCCTGGCCAACACGGTGAAACCCTGTCTCTACTAAAAATACAAAAATTAGCTGGGCGTGGTGGCGTACCCCTGTGGTCCCAGCTACTCAGGAGGCTGAAGCAGAAGAATCGCTTCAACCCAGGGGGAGAAGGTTGCAGTGAGCCAAGATTGCACCACTGCACTCCAGCCTGGCGACAGACCAAGACTCTGTCTCAAAAAAAGAAAAAGAAGAGAAACAAAAATAAATATTTGGGGATTTCTTAATATTTAAAAAAAATGAAATCAGCTGGGCATGGTGGCACACACCTGTACTACCAGCTACTTGGGAGGCTGAGGCAGGAGAATCGTTTGAATCCAAGAGATGGAGGTTGCAGTGAGTCAAGACTGTGCCACTGCACTCCAGCCTGGAAGACAGAGCAAGACTCTGTCTCAAAAAATGAATAAATAAATTTAAAATGTTGGGAAGCCATGGTAGGTAGATCACGAGGTCAGGAGTTGAAGAAAAGCCTGGCCAAGATGGTGAAACTCAGTCTCTACTAAAATTACAAAAATTAGCCAGGCATGGCGGTGGGCACCTCTAATTCTAGCTACTTGGGAGGCTGAGGCAGAGAACGGCTTGAACCCAGGAGGCAGAGGGTGCAGTGAGCCGAGATCACACCACTACCTTCCAGCCTGGGCGACAGAGCAAGACTCCATCTCAAAAAAAAAAAGGTTATATGACAAGACATTTGGCATGCTGTGCATTCAGTCTCACAATCATTTTTGAAATTATTTTCCAAATTGGGTTTCTATTTTTAAAAAAATCAGGAACGATTTCTCAACAGATAAATTATCTTCCTGTATAGCAGGCCAAAATGTTACATATTTATAATTAAAACACTGGCAATTTCAATATTCAAATTTCAGAGCTTACCGAAAAGGTCCAGTTCTGTTAGCAGGTCGAGAATCCCCCCACATCTCTTTTTATCAAGAGGCCGCCAACAAGTAGATCCTTTTTCTACCAAATTCTGGTAATAGCAGTACCTGTATAAAATAAACCACAAAAATTAGTACTTTAGAACATGAACTAAAAGTTAGATTAGTTTCCCACTTCTTTTTTTTTTTTTTTTTTTTGAGACGGAGTTTCGCTCTTGTTACCCAGGCTGGAGTGCAATGGCGCAATCTCGGCTCACCGCAACCTCCGCCTCCTGGGTTCAGGCAATTCTCCTACCTCAGCCTCCTGAGTAGCTGGGATTACAGGCATGCGCCACCATGCCCAGCTAATTTTTTGTATTTTTAGTGGAGACGGGGTTTCACGTGTTGACCAGGATGGTCTCGATTTCTTGACCTCGTGATCCACCCGCCTTGGCCTCCCAAAGTGCTGGGATTACAGGCTTGAGCCACCGCACCCAGCCCGTTTCCCACTTCTTAAGTTTATCAGGGACCACCACATCAGCAGCAATAATTTTGGAGCTCACTTTTAAACATTTACATATTATATTTATAATAAGAAAAATATATTTTTAATTAAAATGTGTACTGTGGGATGGGGTGCAATGGCTCACACCCGTAACCTCAACACTTTGGGAGGCCAAGGCAGGCACATCACTTGAGCCAAGGAGTTTGAGACCAGCCTGGGCAACATGGCGAAACCTCATCTCTACTAAAATTACAAAAATTAGCTAGGCATGGTGCCAGGTGCCTGTAATCCCAGCTCAGGCGGCTGAGGCAGGAGAATTGCTTGAACCCAGGTGGCAGAGGCTGCAGTGAGCCAAAAATCATGCCACTGCACACCAGCCTGGGCAACAGAGCAAGAATCCATCTCAAAAAAAGGAAAAATACAAAACTTAGCCAGACACGGTGACATATGCCTGTAGTCCCATCTCTTTATCGGAAGGCTAAGGTGGATCACTTGAGCTCGGGAGGTTGAGGCTGCAGTAAGCCAAGACTGCACCACTGCATTCCAGCTCAGGAAAGAGTGAGAATGTCTTAAAAAAAAAAAAGAAAGAAAGAAAAAAGTGTACTCTGGGCACTATAAACTTTTTTTTTGTTTGTTTTTTTGAGACAGAGTTTCGCTCTTGTTACCCAGGCTGGAGTGCAATGGCACGATCTCGGCTCACTGCAACCTCCACCTCCTGGGTTCAGGCAATTTTCCTGCCTCAGCCTCCCAAGTAGCTGGGATTACAGGCATGCGCCACCATGCCAGGCTAATATTTTGTATTTTTATTAGAGATGGGGTTTCACCAAGTTGACTGGGATGGTCTCGATCTCTTGACCTCGTGATCCACCCACCCCAGCCTCCCAAAGTGCTGGGATTACAGGTGTGAGCCACCGCGCCCAGCCACCATAAACTTTTTAATGTGCTATGAATGCTTCATATTTACTAAATGAAGTAAGTATTTACTTATTTTTCTAGTGCTCACTAGCCCTTTCGTTTTGGAAACAGCATTGTAGTATTAACCCCACTGTCTCGGACCTATTCCAACACCATCCAGCATGACCAATCAGAATAATCTATTACTCTCACTACAGCCATTGCTTTGAAGACAGACATATAACTCAAGTCAAGAGGAAAAGTTTTATCTCCTGGACCTTTGTTCTAGCTACTGAAAAAGAGGGAAATCTTCATGACCTTGGATTTGGCAATGATTTCTTAAATATGACCCCTAAAGCACAAGGAACTTTAAAAGAAAAAGTAAAGTGAACTTCATCAAAATTTAAGGACACTATCAAGAGAGTAAAAAGACAGCCCATAGGTCATCAAAATGGCAGACCAGAAGTTTCAAGTTCTCACTCCTTCACAGAAACATCAGAAAACAAGCAACAAATGTGTGAAACAACTTTGTCAGAGTTTTAGAAAACAGCCAAGGTCTACAAGCAAATATCCAATCAAGAAAAAGCAATCTTCAAAACCCTAGCAAAGTTCTGTGGTGTTTTTACTCACCCTTGCCCCACCCCTTCTCCAGCATGGCAGTGGTTTTGGTCTTAAAGCAGTACGAGCCCAATTCCCAGCTCCCTCCCTCAAAGAGCAAAGCAGACCTTACTTGCAAATTATCATAGATATCTGTTCTACCCTGTCTAGGGGTATTTGAAGGACAGGCATAAGGTGCTTGTTTCTGTTGCAACCTAACACAAAACTTAGGCAGAAAAAGCAGCAAGTATTGCTAATGAAAGCTGTGAAGCAGACTACAGACTAACAGACACATGGGGCAAGAGATTACAGATAGACACCCAAGAACCAGACCAGTGGCTCACACCTGTAATCCCAGCACTTTGGGAGGCCAAGGCAGGTGGATCACGTGCAGTCAGGAATTCGAGACCAGCATGACCTAAATGGTGAAACCCTGTCTCTTAAAAAAAAAAAAAAAAAAAAAAAAGGCAGAGAAGTTGAGGTGAAAACTCTTTGGCAAATTAGGACATTCCAAAGCAACATGTGTATGGAGAAATTTAGAAAGCCATAAATGCCAAGGCAAAATGTATGATCATACAAGACCTAGGCTGGGCACAGTGGCTCACATCTGTAATCCCTGCACTTTGGTAGTCCAAGGTGGGTGGATCACTTGAGGTCAGGAGCTCAAGACCAGCCTGGCCATATTAAAAATACAAAAAATTAGCTGGGCATGGTGGCAGGCACCTATAGGCCCAGCTACTTAGGAGGCTGAGGCAGGAGGATCACTTGAACCCAGGAGGTGAAGGTTGGGGTGAGCCAAGATCATGCCACTGCACTCCAGACTGGACAACAGAGTGAGACTTCATCTCAAAAAAACAACAACAAAAAAAGGCCTAAACATAAACTGACAACCAAGAATTCTGTATCTGAGAAAACTGTCCTTCAAAAATTAAGGAAAAAAATAAAGACATTCTCAGATAAACAAAAGCTGATAGAGGCTCTTATACCACTATACACTACAAATTACAGTCCCACCTACTTGGAAGCCTGAGGCAGGAGCATCACTTGAACCCAGGAGGCAGAGGCTGCAGTGAGCTGATTATCACGCCACTGTACTCCAGCCTGGCAACAGAGACTCCTTCTCCCCCACCCCCACCCCCAAAAAAAAGGAAAGAAAGAAAGGAAAGAAATCAATCAATCAATCTCTGGTAAAGGCAAATACAGGAGCAACTGTAAAAACTAGCATTATTGTAATTTTGCTTTGTAACTTTGCTTTTCATTTTCAATGTGATCTAAAAACAAATGCATAAAAAATTATTAATCTAGGCTAACAAGATACAATTTACAAAGATGTAATCTATGACATAACAGAAAAGGGAAGAGAAAGGAGCTGCACCGGAGCAGAGATTTGTATACTATGGAACTTAAGTTATTATAAATTCAAATTAGATTATAACTGTGAGATGTTAACTCCCATGGTAACTGCAAAGAATACATCTTTAGAATACACATGTAAGAAAATGAGGTTGCCTCCTTATGCACTAAAAAGAAAAAAAAAGAAAGAAAATGAGAAGGGGCTAGGCACAGTGGCTCAGGCTTGTAATCCTAACAATTTGGGAGGCCGAGGCAGGAGGATTACTTAAGCTTAGGAGCTTGAAACCACCATGAGCCACATAGTGAGACCCTGTCTTTACTACAGGCCAGTGGCTAAAATCTGTAATCCCAGCACTTTGGAAAGCCAGGTGCTTGAGGCCAGGAGTTTGAGACCAGCCTAGGCAACATAGCAAGACACCATCTCTATGAAAAATTTAAAAAAATAAAAAGCCAGGTGGCACACGCCTGTAGTTCCAGGTACTTGGGAACAATAAAACAGGAGGATTGCTTGAGCCCAGGAGTCCAAGGCTGCAGTGAGCTATGATCTCACCACTGTACTCCAACCTAGGTAACACACACAAGCACAGCAAGACCCTGTCGCTTAAAAAAAAAAAATTGGGCCAGGCACATTAGCCCATGCTTGTAATCCCATCACTTTAGGAGGCCAAGGCAGGCAGATTACCTGAGGCTAGGAGTTTAAGACCAGCCTGACCAACATGAAGAAACCCCGTCTCTACTAAAAAATACAAAATTAGCCAGGTGTGGTAGGCCATGCCTGTAATCCCAGCTACTTGGGAGGCTGAGGCAGGAGAACTGCTTGAACTTGAGAGGCGAAGGTTGCAGTAGAGCTGAGATTGTACCATTGCAGTCCAGCCTGAGTGACAGAATAAGACTCCATCTCAAATAAAAAAAAAGAACACCAACATGATCCAACTGTATGCTATCTTCAGGAAATTCACTTTAGAGCCAAAGACACAAATAGGTTTGAAAGTGAAAGGATGCAAAAAGACATTTCATGCATATAACAATCAAAACAGTTGGGGTGACTCTATTAATATCACACAAAACAGACTTTAAATATAAAAAGGTTACAAGAGACAAAGAAATATATATATATGCTTGTGGTTTTTTTGTTTTTATTTTGTAGACAGAGGATTTCACTATGTTGACCAGACTGGCCTCATACTCCTGGGCTCAAGTGATCCTCCCACCTCAGCCTCTCAAAGCACTGGCTCATTATAGACATGAGCCACTGTGTGTCTGGTCTATATATTAATTTAAAAGCCTAATACAGCAAGACAATATAACAACTATGCACCTAATACGACCTTAAAATGTAGAAAGCAACAATTAAAAGATTTGAAGGAAGACATAGTTCTGCAGTAACAGCTGAAAATGTCAAACCCCACTTTCAACAAGGAGACTGATCAGACAGAACATAAGAAGGGAACTTGAATAACACAATAAACCAACTAGACCTGACAGACATATACAGAACACTCCATCCAACAATGGCAGATTTACATTCTTCTCAAATGCACATGAAACATTCTTGGCCAGGCACAGTGGCTCATACCTGTAATCCCAACATTTTTGAGAGGCTGAGGTGGAAGGACTGCTTGAGGCCAGGAGTCCAAGACCCACCTGGGCAATATAGCCAGATACCATCTCCTCAAATAAAAGCAAAAATGTGGTGGTATGCCCTTGTAATCCCAGCTACCTGAGAGGCTGAGGGAGGAGAGTCGCTTGAACCAGGAGGTGGAGGCTGCAGTGAGTCAAG